AACAGCCAGTAACTCACCAGTAATAATGCTGTTGTCACTCTCCCACATCATCTCCAGTTTCTCTTCTCACTGGTGGAACTGGGCAGCAGAAGGTCCTTAGCCCAAAACAAATGAAAGCCCCTCCCTGTACTAGCATTGCAATGGGCCCTGCATGGAAACTGTCCCTCAGGAGAGGCATCAGCCAGCTGGAAGTGCATTTGCCAACAGTGCAATTGATCTTCAGCTGCCTTTAGCCTAAAGAAACTTTCAGACATCTAAAATTGCATCTGATTTCATAACAGACTCCTCTGCAATCGCCACCACTTTGCCTGCTCTCAACCCTGCCCAAAAAAACTCAAAACCAAAACTGAAAAAAGCCCACCCAAACCCACTCATGATGAAGAATGAAGTGGCTCAGAAGAATAAGCTGATTTGACACCTCCTTCTGCAAGTCCTGCCAGCCAACTCCTGCAACAGCCTTGCTCTGCAGCACCTTGTAGCAGGATCTGTAACTGAGGCAAGGGAGAGGGAAAAGGTGGAGGATGGAGGGGGAGGGCACAGAGGCTGCTCACATAGAAAGCCAGGCTATTCCTGCTGCCCACCCGGGAGGCACCACCTCTGCATCAGGCGGGAGAATCTGAGGGAAAATCTGGCTTTCTGAATTTAACAAGTTCACTTTTCCTTTAATTGGGGCCCTCAGGCACTACTGTAGTCCACCTAATGGCACTAATCATTAATGAATCAGCTTGATGAATAGAAAGGCTGAACTGTTCTCTCTCTCCTTAGGTTGTCAGCCCTTCACAGAACTGAACTGGGTTTCACTGGGCAGGACAACAACTGCACAGATTTTAAAAGGACCCTGGAGAGGAAGAGGGCTGGAGGAGCCGCTGATCCATTCATCCCTAGACTCTGCAAATGAGCCAAGACCAACAGTAACTGGCTGCTTCCTCTGAGATGCAGATATAGCCACCAAAAAGTCCTGTCAGAAATGGACCTTACTTTCATACCATGCCTCCCTGCGCCCTCCACAAGCACCAACCAGTTTGCTCTCACTACCACTCAGATTCTTCCTCAGTTTTGTGTGTCCTGGCTCGAGCTTTTGCTCCCAGCACATGCCCACTCCATCTCCCTGTTACAGCCTTTGAACAGATGGGGAAAGGCCTTTCTTTTTCTGTCCGTAAAGCAAAAATTATCGACCGCCACCACCTCAGTCCAGTGCTGGCAGGGTCTAGCAGTGCCGGAGGGCAGCCCGAGCCGGGGCAAGGTGCAGCCCTCCCTGCAGGGCTCAGCCAGGCTGCTAAAAGGGCGAGGGAGGCAGCAGGAGAGCAGCCGCAGGCCAAGCACGGGTGCATCCAGCGCTGCCGGGGAAGAAGGAGCCAGCGCTCTGCAGCCCTCCGGGGACTGCGGGGCTGCGGTTGCTCAGTCGAAGCTGGGGATAGGAATTAGGGCAGGCAGAGCCGCAATGGCTGCAACTCTTCCTGATTATCCAGACAGCTGAAATGCACTGGCTTGTCTTTTGTTTCAGCTGTGGGTTTTTTTTCCCTTGTTGATCTGCATTTATGCTTCCCGCCTCCCTTTATGCGTGCGTTTGTGAGCGCATTTTCTTTTAAGCAGGGGATGATTTTACTGTGGTCACTGTCAAGGTTTAAACGCTTTCTTCTTGCGTTTTTCCCCTCTCCAGTTCATCTGCTCACGTTTGCCCGAGAGGTAAGAAGGGATGTTGGAGGCTTGAACCTCTTCCAGCTCTTGCTACAGCAGCCACTGCCTGGGGCAGTGGGACCAGCCTGGCAAGAGACAAGCCCAGCCTTTCCCGCAGCCTTTACAAACCCTACAGGTGCAAGGCGGCGGGAGGCAAGCCCAGTACACTCAGTCCCTTTCTGAGACTTGGCGGAGGGCTCATGTTTCCTTGGCCACACAACATGGCAAGGCAGAGCAGCCATCCATCCCTGTGGTCGAGAAAATTAAATACATAAAATCGACCATTGCACTCAGGCTTCAGAAATGGCCCTTGAAAGGAGCAGAAAAGGGAGCAGCCAATGCCCTGCGCCTCTTATAAAATGAGCGGGCGAAAGGGAAGGGGGAGTTTGCTGGTTTCTCGTGCTCCCCGAAAAAAACACGGGCCTTTGCCAGTTTGTCCAGGAGGAGCCGAGCCGGAGGGACCGGGGTTTGCTGCCGTCCCTGGCGCCTGTGCGGGAAATCCCGGGGTGCAATGCAGGTTAGTGCATCCCAGCTAGCTCGGCAGGCCGGTGGCCGGCCTGTGCCCCGGGGATGAACGCCCGACAATTACTAGCCCCAAACACGAGAGTCCAGGGAGAGACAGGTGGAGGAAAGGGGCCCGGGGACGACCACCGGGCACCGTCCCCACCCGCTCGGCTCTCTTTCACCGGTTTGCCACCGTTTATTATTTTCCTCAACGGAGGGTTAATTGGGGGATGTGCTAATTACGAAGAGATTATTCATTAGTAATTGAACTTCACACGAAGATAACTGGAGTCCGCTAATGAGCTGGAAATCGCCCCCTTATTAGGGCGTTTCAGCTTTCTTCTGCGGGGTGAGGGAAAGCTGGTAGGCTCCCTTCCATCGTCCTCCGACGGACGGGCCCCGTCCAGCAGCGGGGAAGGCGGGGGCGGCGGCGGGAGCACGCCCGACGCCGAGCCGGGGGATGCCGGAGCGGGCGGGACCGGCGCTCGGGCACCCCGGGGCCGAGCGGGGCGCGGTGCCCGCCGCCGGCGGGGGTCCCCGGGGCCCAGCCGGGACCGACAGCAGGCTGCCGAGCCCCGCGCATTCCCCTCTCCCCTCTCTCCTCGGCATCTGGCATTTCGTGCTACAAGAAACCATAACAGCAGCGCCTGACCTCATGAATACAGAGATGTGCACAGAAAAATCAATTTAGGTCTAGATCCTCTGTGGGGAAGGAAAATAACCCAAACCATTTAAACAAAGCTCTGCTCTCCAGGGTTTTCCCTTTTCTTTGGTGGTGGTGGGGATTGAGTCTAGAGGGAGGCCAAAGTAAAATGAAATTCAAGCAGACCTGTGTCTGCCGAAGCGAGGCTGAGCTCTGCAAAGCCCCCCCAACACACGCATAATGTATTTTATCATTAAAAAATCAACATTGCTTCCAGTGGTAAAGGCGCCTGGCTCCAGTTCCTGAGCACATTCGTTGCTGGGATTCAATCCGTTTGGGAAATGCAGATTGGCTTGCGACCCACTGTTTGATTTATGAACTGTTACATTTGCTATTGCTTACACATTACATTGCGGACCTTGGGAAAGGAGGGAGCAGGGAGAGGGGGCGAAGGAGAGACTCTGCCACCCTACACATTGGCAAAGGAGAGCTATCGCACAGGCAACGGCTCCCCAGCGGAGTAAATCACCTCGCACCCATTCGCGGTGCCTACCTCCCCATCACCCACTCACCCACCCACCCACCCCCGATCGCCAGCTGGGCTCTCCTCTTATAAGTAAAAAGGACGTGTTTACTCTTTGATGTGTATTTCTTCATAAAGGCATCAGGCGGCTATAAATAGCCCAGGTTAGAGCAGCTTCTGCTGCGAAATCAATACCCCGTCCCCCCTTCCCCTTGCTCCTTCGGCTGAGCTGCCTTATTAATTATGAAAGGGCTTCTCTGCGCCCCGGCTCCGGCTCGGCAGCCTTCCTCCTTAATGGTGGTTGGTGCCTTCCCTCGGCCGGGGCTCGGCACCGCTCGGCGCCCGCGGGAGAGCCGCGCCGCCCGCCCCCGCCGCTGCGCGGGGCTCCCTGCGCCGGGAAACGGGCGGCCGGGAAGGCGGGCGTGCTGCGGTTCGCGGCTTCGGGAGCAGCGGGACGAGGGGGAGGGTGGGAGGGTTTAGAGCATATTTTTAAGGAGGAAAAGAAAGGAAAGGGAAAAAAAATAAAAAGAGAGAGAGAGAAAGGCTTCGGCTATGCGATTCAGGCACCCTGTCCTTGTTTGAACTGAAATTGCCGTGTTCGTCAAGGGATGGGTTCAAGATTTAGACTTCCTTGCCTTCAAAGCCCCGTCCTTTCCAAGATACGCTAGGCATATTTTATAAAAAGGACGACACTCTCATTTCAAACAATAATTTTTATTTTATACTTCTGTCTATACTTTGTAGCAAATCTTTTTTTTTGTTATTTTTTGCTGAATTGACTTTATAATAAACTTTTGTTTAAATTACATTTTCTTTTCTTTTAAAATCAAGGTTCTTTTCTTTTTTTTCAAAATCTTTTTGCTGTTAGTATTTTTTCTCATTTAGGTTTACATTTAAGCCCCCTTTTTGTGATCTCTACGGTTGGATAGTCAGATATTTTACTGTTATGTGTAACATCTAAAACAAAGAGGAGGAAAAAATTAAAGGCAGTGAATTCGGAAAGATGCCTTCGAACAGCAAGTAAAGGTAAACTCTCAGAGATGTTAGCAGCATTCCTTCGTTCCTCCGGGCATTGAGATACGTCTCTCTTTCTCTTGCTCCTTCCTTCCTTAGCTGTTCGCTTCCCTCTCTTTCTCTCCCTCTCTCGCTCTCTTTTCCCCTTGAGGAAAAATGTTCTTTTTTATTAATTTTTAATTTTTTTTTCCAGTGGAATGGCCAAAAACAAAAAACAAACAAGCGACTGTGGAGGAAAGATGAGAGATTGTGAATTATTCACCATATGCTTCACACGTGGACATCTACCTTGGATTTCTCGCCAGTGCCTTTTCCTGTCTGCGGTTTTTGTTCTCGCCTCGCACACTGCCACATTTTTAGCGGAGCCCGTGGCTCGCCGGGAGGTACCCGGCCGGTTACAGCCTTAGCAGTAGGTGGCCCAGAGCCGTTCCTGAGATTGCGTTTGCACAACGAGGGCTCGAGTTTGTTTCTTTATATTTTTTTTTCTATTTTTGATTCGAAGCGATAGTAAAGCTGAGGTCCGATTTGGGCTGCGCGCCGCTGCCTGTTTGGTAAGTTTTGGCAAATAAACACAAAAAAAAAGAAGGAGGGAAAAAAAAAAAAAAAAAAAAAAAAAAAAAAAAAGGGGGAAAAAAAAAAAAAAAAAAAAAAAAAAAAAAAAAAAGGGAGAACGCTTCCACAGTCCTACATGGATGTTTCACCTTCATCAGCCACCACCATCACCATCATCATCATCATCAACCACAGAAAAGCACAACGTCCCCAAAGCAACGGATGGACACTTCCTCTATAGATCCAGCACATGGAGAGGGTGTGGGTGTGAGTGTGCTCGCCCCCCTAGAAAGGCAGCCAGGTCACTAGGGCGGCCCACAGAGCCGCCAGGAGCAGGGGCAAGGCCGGCGGGAGGACGGACGGTGCCGCGCCGCTGCCGCCTCCGCACAGTTCGAATAAGCTGCCTTGGAAATCGAGGTTTTTGGATTCCCGTCTCAATTTCTCCCAGAGGTCTGTCGCTCCTTCCTGGCAATCGGTGAGCGCTGTGAGGGTGCAGGCGTGGAAATCATCCCAGTACCTGCAGGAGGGGAGAGCAGCCGGCGTCAAAACAGGCACGCGCCCACCTTCCCGGGAAGGGGGCCCGCCCCTCGGGCCCGCCGCCCCCTCCTCCCGCCGGCGGAGCCCAGCCGGGCATGCCTAAAAGGGGGGGGTTGGGCTGGCTGGGAGGAGCCGCTGCCTGAGGTTTCGGGGGTCCCCCCCATCCCCAACCCCGCCTTCGGCACCAGCCCGGTGTAAAAATTGCTCTGCTGGGTCTCTGGCGGAGGGGTCTGTGCCCGGCGGGAGGAGGGGACGCGCCCCGCTCGGCTGTCAGAAGCCAGCCGGGAGCCCGCGGGCTCGTCCCGAGAGTTTCTCGTCACGGGTGGGAAAGGCACCCTTTCGGGTGGGGCGTGCAGAAACCCTCGGGGGAGATTCCCAGGGGAGGTAAAAGGTCAGGGAGGAAGAGTAGGAGAAGCAGGGAGGGTAGGGGGAAGAAGAAGGAGCATCTTCCTCTTTTGGGCGCCTCGCAGCGGGAGGGACTCCTGATCTGTGGCCAGGGATCTATAGGCAGCGAAGAGATTCGCTTTCCTAGGATAATTTCCAGCTATTCGCACAAAATCTCCCCCC